TTTAAAATAATTAAAAATCGGACTAGTGAATAGTACCGATCCAATTACTTCAAAAATACAAAATAAATACTTTTACATGTTTAAAAATTATGAAAATTTTTATACAAGCTTAAAGTCTCTGGTCGCGACTTATTATGAATTAAAATTAATTTTTCATTGTCAAAAATAAGTTTTCCCATTTTCTATTCAATAAACGAATTTAAAAATAGAAAAATAGGAAATTAATTCCAAAAATCGATTTTAAAATTTCTAAGTTATATTGACATGTCAAATACTTCCCAGAAAATATAAAATCTAACTTTCATAAATATTAAGTATTTATGGCACAAATAACAAGTATTCTACACATAAACTACTTAATAAGAATAATATAAAAATACCCCAAACAGTAATTCCGAAAATTACTGAACAAAATTATATTAGGTCCAGTATCTAAATATGGCCACCTAATTAAATTTTTAATGGGATAAATTTTTGTCTCCAAAATTTATTGACTAATCTACAAAAACAATAACGGTGTAAACTATTAAACTAGTAACTTCGTAAGCCGGCTCCAATACCACTGTTGGGAAACGAGGCTTGGATAACGCAGCGGAAAACAAAAATTTATAGTCCAAAACTCGATTCCACCCAAGAACAACTTACTAGCTATAGTAAGAAATTTACCTTAACGGTGAAGACGAAGAACGGAGGAACGGTCGGGGATGGTTTTGAGGAGATGAACGTAGCGCCAAACGTATGAAGCCTCCAACGTATCCACACGAACTTGCTCCGGAGTCCAAGATTAAAATTGTGCTAGCAAGTTTAATATAGGATAGTAAAACCTATAATAATACTACTTTGGGAGTAATAAATATATATAGTAGAATATTTATCTTATAAATATTTGTTTATAATATTTTGTGTATATTTCTAACACTTTAGAAAAATAACTTTGAACACAAAATAAAATTTTCTTCTCTCTAAAATTGGGATGGCCGAAAGTTATGGTGTTTGTATTAAAAATCAAGACCTCATTTTATAATAAAGTATATTTAGGAAATTGCTAGGAAATTAATGTTAAACATAAGTCCATGTATATGTCTTAACATCATGTGTAAATGTTTAATATCTTAGCTACCAAACAAAATAGAATCCCTACATCAAATAATAATCAAATATATCAATTTGACATTAAAAATACTTTATGTATAAAATCAAAATGGTCTTGGATTTTTCCTCTTGAAATTTCGGTCATCCCATATTTGAAATATATCATATTTTATTTTTGACATCAATAATTATCATATAATTAAAATGATGAAAACTAAAATAATAAATATATATATACACACACATTCGGCGCTACATATATATATATATATATATATATATATATATATAACAAAATTTGTTTTGTCAAAATATAATTATCATATAATTAAAATGACACAAACAAAATATAATTTTAAAATACATATGTATTTTCGAAATACATATATATATAAAATTATCACAACTATATATTTAATATTTACTTCCACTAGTGTAGTATACTACTCCCTTACAAGTCGTAAGTGTGTGACCCTTTAGGTATCCATAAAACTGGCAATGATATTAATAAAATTAATACCATAGATAATAAGCGGTATCTAGCAACACATTATTACCCCCAGATTATGAAAAAGACGTTAATCTCATCAATACCTTCTACGACACAAGACATTCTATAACTATTATCCTTCTGTCCTATATGTCATGATTTAACACAAGGCATGGGATGTGTATCCTTGTATAGTTAAATCAGCTGTTACTGAATCTCAAGTAGACTGGCAGGGATCAGATATTTATCAGTCTCTAGATAGCGACATATCTGGGCATGGCCATGCACTTTCCCAAGTCCTACTATTCAGTGGGCCCATTGACATTATACTTCAGTGGGCCCAACGCATAACTGTACGTCTACCAGTATTTCAGATAGCATTAGTTATGAATCAAAGCATACGGCCCCACATATCAGAGAATGTAATAACTTCAAGTCTGAGGATAGTTATAATAAGGTCGATTTGAGAATACTGATAAACACATTACTGTAGATCCATGCAGTATTTTCAAGATGGGTCAATCCAGTCACATATTATCGATATAATATGCACCTACGTACAGATTAAGATATCACAATACCTATAGTCTATGAGACGCAACTATCTCATCTCGTACGTACTAGTCTTGATACGTTATGACGTCCGTATTATCATAAAGTGCGACTAGGGATATTCTAGACATAGCCTTCGTCAAGAAGTAACAGTCTCATAATCAGAACATCGTAGTCTTCATCTATGTTACTGAAGCGCTATCGCCTATGGACTGAAGCTATGTTATGTTACACGAGATATAAAACATACTTCAAGGCCTTTCATTCATGATAAAGTGTACAGATAATAGGTATTTGATTGCCGCTAGGGCACCTAAATACAATATATATATATATATATATATATATATATATATATATATATATATAAATATATATATATATATAAATATATATATATATATATATATCGTCGCTACATATATAAATATATATATAATAAAATTTGTTTTGTCAAAATATAATTATCATATAATTAAAATGACATAAATAAAATATAATTTGAAAATATATATGTATTTTCGAAATACATACATACATACATATATATATATATATATATATATATATATATATATATATATATAAAATTATCACAACTATATATTTAATATTACTCCCACTAGTGTAGTATACTACTCCCTTACAAGTTCTAAGTGTGTGACCCTTTAGATATCCATAACACTCGCAATGATATTAATATAAATTAATACCATAGATAATAAGCGGTATCTAGCAACACATTATTATCCCCAGATTATGAAAAATACGTTCATCTGATCAATACCTTCTACGACACAAGACGTTCTATAACTATTATCCTTCTGTCCTAAATGTCATGATTTAACACAAGGCATGGGTTGTGTATCCTTGTATAGTTAAATAGCTGTTACTGAATCTCAAGTAGGCTGGCAGGGATCAGATATTTATCAGTCTCTAGATAGTGACATATCTGGGCATGGCCATGCACTTTCCCAAGTCCTACTATTCAGTGGGCCCATTGACATTATACTTCTATACAGTAGAAGGGACAGATCTTGTATGTGTTATTCACATCTCTAAATATGCTTAGCGGCATACTCAACGCATAACTGTACGTCTACCAGTATTTCAGATAGCATTAGTTATGAATCAAAGCATACAGCCCCACATATCAGAGAATGTAATAACTTCAAGTCTGAGGATAGTTATAGCAAGGTCGATTTGAGAATACTGATAAACACATTACTGTAGATCCATGCAGTATTCTCAAGATGGGTCAA